CAAAATGCATGTTATTGTTTATTTAGTACTCATCTGAATAAGATATTTCACATAAAAGATGTTTACATATAGTCCACGAGAGAAAATAATAGTTGAATGTATAAAAATGACCCTATTCACAAGATTCTTAATACTGTGTTCTTATGATCCACAGCTGCGTTTTTTTGTTTTGTTTTTTGTAGTGATAGTTGTTCATGAATCCTTTGTTTGTCCTGAACCGTTAAACTGCCTGCTGTTCTTCAGAAAAATCCTTCAGGTCCCACAAATTCTTTGGTTTTCCAGCATTTTTGTGTCTTTGAACCCTTTCCAACAATGACTGCATGATTTTGAGATCCATCTTTTCACACTGAGGACAACTGAGGGACTCATATGCAACTATTACAGAAGGTTCAAACGCTCACTGATGCTTCAGAAGGAAAAATCAAGCATTAAGAGCTTTTTTGAATTTGAAGATCAGGGTAAATTTAACTTATTTTGTCTTCTGGGAAGCATGTAACTATCTTCTGTAGCCTCTGAAGGGCAGTACTACATTAAAAAATATGATAGTTGATCTGATATTCTATCTGATAGATAGAAAAGTTTTTTTTACCCCCCTGGCTCTTAATGCATCGTTTTTCCTTCTGGAGCATCAGTGAGCTTATATATTAATATGGCTATTAAAAAAATAATAATTATTATAATAATAATTATTATTATTAACTATTTGGGGGAAATCCAATTGTGTTTTCTGATTAAAAAAAAATGTAAATGCTATTTAAATGTGATAAAAAAAAAAAACCTGTAGGTTTGCTGTGCTTGTTTGTAGGGATGCATATTTTGGCCAAAATTTTGTGACTATATATCAATATGGCTATAAAATAATAATAATTATAATTAGTAATAGTAGTAAGTATTTTGTTATCAAAGTTTTTAAAGAAATTATACTAAATAAGGAAATATGAAAAAGTGTTCATTGTACCTTAGCCTTCTCGGTGGGCTCGATAACAATTCTGTTAGTGGAGTTGTTGAGCTCCCGGGAAACGACGCACAGGAATTCGGCCTGGTCCTCGTTGCCATAGTTATAGGAGGAGCCGATACTTATGAGCTTGAGATAGACAAGTTGAGACAAGTTTGTACCATAGCAAACAGATAAGCAACAAAAACAGTGGCTTACGTAAGTCCAAAAGAAAGGTGTAGACGTATTCTGTTTCTCAAAAACATCTACAATCGATACAATCTACATAGTAAAAAAAAAAATGGAGGGACATAACTGTGTAAGACCATGTATAATGAAAGAAACAACCTGTTAAGATATAAAGTGGCTATCTAGAGATCTTCTGTATGTCTGAGTTAAAAGATGCTACAATAAAATACTGCTAAAATACTCCAGACAAAGAATCTACACCTATACTGGTCAACAGCACCACATATGCTTGGGAAGTGAAGAGAAAACAAAACCTACCTGTTCAAACTTCCATCCGTCTGACATGGTGGAAACCATCTGAGTGAGCTCCTCTTCTTGACATTGTAATACACGATACACATGCTTCACAGGGCCCTGTAAAAACAGTAATATTCTGAATTAAGGGCTAAAACAGAATTAGAAGTCTGTATGAAGCTGCACAGGTTTTGTAAACATCCTTTAATGGGATAGTTTGCCCAAAAAAATTAATGACTTTCTTTATTTACTCGCCTTAATGTCCTTTCAAATTTTTATGACTTCATGACAATATAGATATTGAACAGAATGTACTTTTTTCTATACAAAGTAAGCATATATTTCCGTTGTATGCAAAAGAGCAGCGTGCACTTTCTCCAAAACATCTTTTGTGCTCTACCGAAGAAATAAAGTCATACATGAGGACATGAGGGTGAGAAAATGACTCATTTTTTAACTCTTCTTTGAAGCAGATTCTCAAATCGTGTCTAGAAGTCTGTGTTTGTCTACACTGAAGGTTGGGCATCTGTACATCTTAAATGTTGATTCAAAGAAGGTTTGCTGTTCCCAAATAGTTCTCGAATGAGGAACTCGCTGATTCTGATGAACTTTTAGACACAGAGTGCTTGAAGGTAGACAATGAAATACTTCCTTTGAGCAATCCCAGTAATTCTAGCAAATCTGCTGACAGATTGCATAGCTGTGTTCCAAAAAACACGCCCACAAAGTATTCTGTTGTTTTCCCACATACCTGAGATGTTCTGTTTTCATTGTCTTGTATTCTCTCCTTCACCAGCCTCACAAGTGACGCAATGTTGTAAAATTCTGCTTCCTCTAGAACACCTGCAGTGGTCAGGAAATCAGTGAAAATCTATCATGTGGTTACTGCTTTATAGTAAATAAATATCCATAAAAAAAGCATAGCTCACACGTAAATGAAAATTTGGTCAGCATTTACTAACCCTCATGTTGCTCCAAACCTGTATGACCTTTTTCTACTGTGGTACACAAAATAAGATAATTTTAAGAACTTTTCAATTGTTTTTATTCATACAATAAAATCAATGGGGTCCAGCAACATTGGATTCCACTGACTTTCTCTGTATGGACAGAAAAACACTGACATTTTTTAAAACATCTTATTTTGTGTATAACAGAACAACAACAAAAAAAGGTTTGGAACATGAGGTGAGTAAAAGATGTCATAACTATCCTTTTAAGGCTACACCCATGCCAATAAAAGATGATGATTAGGAATTATACGGTACTACAAGACCAAACTGATTAATAATAATAAAAAAAACACATCACACAATAACTGCCATCATCACAATTTGGAGCACTGACGCACAAAAAAAAAAAAAATTTTGGGACACAGACTGTAAGCCTTTCAAGATCTCACCAGTTCTGCAGGAAATTATCTCTTACATGAGTACACTGAGGTCCCTTTCCACACAAAAAAAGATGTTTCTAAATGAAACTAGGTCATTACTGTTCCATTATGAAGTTTTTGAGGGCAGCATGCATCTCACCCTCCTCAGCAAGGTTCTTGTTGATGATCAACTTCCCATGCCTCAAGTAGTTCAAGATGGGTCCGAAATATGTGGGATCCCTGTCAATCAAATATGCTCCTGTCTCATCCTGTGAGAGAAGACAACCGACAGTGTGAACACTGCTTGTTGCAATTGCAATTTAATTTTCATTTAACTTCATCATCACTGTTCTGGTCACTGCAGTTATATTGCTGAATCATTTGTGAAATTCCCTTGACAAACCACTGATTCAATTAATGTCATGTGAATGTCACTCAAGCAGCAGGTAAAGTAATGCCTGATTATCAAGTGAGTGAGAATTTAGAGAACCCAGTTAGTGAGTCCATTCACTCTTCAGAAGTACACAATGATTTTAGTAAATTAGTGCAGCAACAGCTTTTTTTCAAATGAGCTGCTCTGGTGATTTTGAAACTTCAAACTGTGGTTGCTATTTTTACATAAATTAACACTTTGGAGAGGAAATCCTCTGCAGAACTGTAAATAACACTTACCCTGCTATAAAATACAGTTTAGGTTGGTGGCTGTGTTTTGGAACATGAAATCTAGTTTAGATCCAACTGATGCAAGCTAATATACTAATCTTGGAACAGCAACTAATTTATCAAAAGCAAAGGTGGCCAAAGAGGTTCATTTTAACTTGTTTCTAGCTGGTCTAAAATGGACATTAGCTGGTCCAACCAGGTAGAACATCTTGGAAAAGGAACAAATCAGCTACCAGGTGGTCATCTTTGTGGTTACTGGATTGAAAGGTAACTGGTTAACCAGAAAACGACCAGCCTGCAGCAGATAATGACAAAATAGACCATCTAGAACATAAAAAGATATTTTGAGAAATGTGTCAGTGTTTTTGCCCATACAATGAAAGGCAATGGCAACCAAAATTGTTTGGGTTAACAACACTCGTTGGAATATCTCCTTTTGTGTTCCACATAATAAAGAATGTCACACAGGTTTGGAATGACTTGACAGTGAGTAAAAAATGACATGCATTTCATTTTTGTATAAACTATTCCTTTAAACTGGATTGTATTTATTTTATACGGGATTAAACTGGACCTCACATGTGCATTACAAATACACACATACAAACGCTTGTTTAGTTTACTGTGTTGAGATGTGCTAAAGTTGCGTTTGGTCTTGTACTATATCGCATACCTTGGGCCCGTTCTTCGTACATCACTTTATACATCTGAGATGATTTGAAAGATGCCAGATCTTCTATTCGTGATAACTGATCTCTGGCTAATTTGGTTCTTCAAACGAATTTGCGGATTTGATTAAAATATCTGGATTAAGTTGTCTAAGATTACAGCGCGTTCTCGTGTTCCCCAAAAAGGGCAGATGTATCGATACTCGAAACCACGATCGCCAATGCAGCGATTGGCTGGCGGCAAGACAGCAACGTATAATATCATAGCATAATTAAAAAGACACCTGACAAAAAAACTTGACAAATTTCTGGACCTTTATAAGGAAACAGCCAAGCGAACAAAACTACATAAATGTTATAATAGATAAATGAAATGTGCACTGTTTTTAATTGATTTGTAATTTTTGTACATGATTCCCAATTACTTATATTCACGTTTTCTAGTATTTGTACGGGCTTTACATTTTTATTTCAATGTTGTAATTTGCAATTCATTTAATTTTATCTTTGAAGCAGATTTGTTACGTGACAGCATTAATTAAAGTTTCTTAAGGGTCAATGTCAAGTTATCTGCATCTCCTGCGCTCCATCAATCCACTCCCATAATAGCGGTCACCACTCAAATTAATGCACGACTCAGATTAACTGTATAGCATGTGTGTAAGACGCCAATACAATTATTAAGTAATTATTTTATCACAAATAAATCTTAAACTTAAATCTAAAAAAAAAAAAAAAAAAGGAAAGCTGGCTGTGTCTATATAATTATAGAGTAGACAACATTATTATATTATTTTCAAATAAATGTTTAAATTGTTATTATTTTAAATTACTGTCCCTGGATCAGTAGGGTGCTCTTGTAATAAAGTAACAGTGGCTGGGACAGATTTTAAGTATCTTAAAAAGATGCAATCTAATCCTGTTTACATGAAATAAGCCTGCTCCCGAGCAGGTTTAAGATTACGGTTCTGTTGCTATGACAGCAACTCCGGGATGAGCTTTGAAGAACCAACCAATCCAAGATCATGCCAAATCATCAACAATCAAATCCAGCTGAGTTAGCAACGTACAAAGAACGGACCCCTTGTCAGTGTTGTGAGCTTGCTTAGCCCTTTGTTGTGATAAACAGTAAAGTGTGTTCAAGCGCTATAGCAAAAGATAGTGTAAAGAAATACTCTTTGAGAGAAGCAGTCAATGAGAGGAAGTTAAAAGCAGATCATAAGTGTATTTATTTCTTGTCTCATTAGTGTTTATCGCAGTTGTCGTTGCTAGGAAACGCTTGTTTTGTTTACTGTGTTGAGACGTGCTGAAGTTGAGTTTGGTCTCATACTCTATCGCATACCTTGGGCCTGTACAATGAAGCTGGATTAGCTGGCTAGCCAGGTAAATTTCAGTTTAGTTTGCACCAATCCTGGGTTTTAGGTACCATGAAAGTGGCTTGGCTTTTAGCTGCGTTCATTGCCATAGTAACTTACACTCCACAGCTAACCTGCTCCGGGGCAGGTTATGTTCTGGGTAAGAGATCTCAAACTGAAATTGGACCAATCAGAAATGAGCAAAGTGACATGTCTGACGCAAAAAAACCTCAGTTTCTCTTCCTACAAATTAAAGGTCACTATAAAGTACCTTAAAAAAATTACAACAAAATTGTCTGGCTTTAACGATAATTACAATTTACATATGATTTATATAATTATAATATAATTGATATTATTATTAATCCATTACACACAAGCGCTTTTAGTTTAACAATTATTATAAAGCATATACTTTAAATTAATATTAATATATACAGATCATATGTAATAAAAATAAGTGGTAGAATCAATAGGTAACACTTTAAAAATGGCTACATGTGACCTTACATGTTTGAGTCTTTATTGCTATATACTATCAACTATATAAACTAACTTCACAAGTTTCACTTGTGACTGCACTAATAGAGCAAGATCATTTCATTTATTTGTCCTCTTTCATTGACAAGTACTTCAGTGTAAATGCGTTTAAATTCCTCATATTCTTTAATCTCTTAACCTTTAACAAAAGAGTTTTGAATCTCGCTGGCTCTCTCACGAGAAGTGAATCACACTTGCTTTGTGTTGTGATTGGCTGTTCGCCATGATGTCACACATTCATGTTCATGCGCTCCACAAACTCAGGATCAAAGCCTCAGTTGACAAAGAAAGTTGATGATCAGCATCATGGTACCAATAAAGCTGGATTGGAGTGTGTTGGTTTTGTCAACTCAAAACTAATCCTGTAACTCTGAATTTGTTCATCTCCCATCATGGTACAGGCCCCTGGTCAGTGTCGTGCGCTTGCTTAGCCCTTTGTTGTGATAAACAGTAAAGTGTGTTCAGCTGAATTCAATTTCCGTTTTGTTAAACGGGTATAAAAAAAGGTTAGTATACTGCGGCAGGCCTCGTGTGAAGACCGAGGAGTGTAAAGACCATCGACTCCACCATGCAGGGGACATAAGTATCGCTTTTTGACTCATCCTCTTTTCTACACCTTGCTTCACTTCTGTTTCAGTTTTTATGACCAACTCTTACTATGTGTTTCCATATCCCTACTATTACTACCACTCGCAAACCACACATCACACACTATAGGCAGTGCAATCCTAACAACCTGTAGTGTGCACTTTGCCTATGTCTGCTAATACACTACTTTCTTTTTCTATTGGTCTCTAGAATTGTCAGTCTGCAGTAATCAAAGCAGATTTCATTACATCTATTACTAGTCATTCAAGACTAAACCTCATGGCCCTGACAGAGACCTGGATCAAACCAGAGGACACTGCTACACTTGCAGCACTCTCCAATAATTTCTCATTTTCCCACACTCCACATTTGACTGGAAGAGGTGGAGGTACTGGTTTGCTTATCTCTAATGTTTGGAAATGTATTCCTTTACCTTCTCTGGGTATTGACAGCTCCTTTGAATCACATTCAGTCACTATTACCCACCCTTTTAAAATCCATTTTGTATTTGTTTATCGACCCCCAGGACCACAAGGTAACTTCTTGGATAAATTAGATGTGCTGCTCTCAACCTTTCCTGAGGATGGTACTCCCCTATTTATACTTTGAGACTTCAACATCCACCTAAATAAACCTCAGGCTGCTGACTTCCACACTCTGCTTGCCTCTTTTGATCTGAAGAGAGTGTTAACTACGGCTACTCATAAATTAGGCAACCAACTGGACCTTATTTACATACGACACTGCTCCACTGATCAAGTACTGGTTACTCCACTGCACACCTCGGATCACTTCCTCCTCACTCTTAACCTCAACATGGATCCTGACTAGGGATGTCAACGATTAATCGGCGATCGATTAATTGTCGATAAGGGTTGCAATCGATTAAAGCTATCGATTGTCAGTTAAGCCGTTTAATTTTGGGGTGCGTGTGGTTCATGCGCAAAACACATGCAAGCAGCTGTGAGTGACGGTGATGGGGCTGGATCTTTGGCGAAAATAACTCACTATCACACAAATTACGCTTTTAATGTGATCCAAAATGTAAAAGTACATTAAAACCGAAACAATACAAAGTTCTTTTGTATTGAAATGTAATAAATAAGTCATGTTTAATTATAATTTCCCCAGATAAATGTTTCATATCGGGCGCTTTGGCAGGGCTGAGGTACACGAGCAGGACAGATAGCCTATATATATACCTATTATCCATACCTACAACTTGTTAATTCGTTCCCACGACTTATTAATTTGTGGCCACTGTCCATGTTTCATTAATGTGTTCCCTAGAAAACCCATGATTTAACTAAAATGAGGGAACGAATTAAGTCATAGGAACGAATTCTTAATTCATGGCCATGGAATCTTTCATTTCCCCCCGCATGTTTACTACAGCAAGAGATGCGAAAACAGTGATTAAAAGTGAACGACAATAAAATAAACCTGCGAAATTAG